TATGTTAGAAGCAGGATTTAGATTCTATCCTGGATTTTACAGGAAGCCACTGAAGAGAAGCTGATACAGGAGACATCTGACCTGGTACTGGTTCCTGTCAGAACCCTGCTGCAGCATGTTGGATCAGCTGGAGGGTTCTGAGAGAGTTATTAGGACATCCTGATAATAAGGAACTACAACAGTCCAGTCTAGAGGTTATAAATGATGGACTGGTTTCTCAGCATCACTCTGAGACAGGATGTCCTGATGTTTACAGTATTACGTAGATGAACGAAGGCCGTCCTACAGACTGGTTCTATATGTCTACTGAAGAACATGTCCTGGTCAGAGATACCTCCAAGGCTCTTCACAGTAGAACTGGAGGCCAAGGCGATGCCATCTAGAGCAGCTATCTGGTTCCAGAGTGTGTTTCTGAGGTGTTTAGGGCCAAATACAAGAACCTCAGTTTGTCTGGATTTAAATGAGGGAAGTTACAGGTCATCCAGGCCTTTATGACCTTCAGACATGTTGGAGTCTGACCAGCTGGTTGGTTTCTATTTGGCTTCATAGATAAATATAACTGCGTGTCGTCTGCATAACAGTGGACATTTATGCAGTGCTTCCTGATAATATTGCCTAAAGGGAGCATGTACAAGGTCAATAATATAGGTCCTAACACAGAGCCCTGTGGAACTCCATAACTAACTCTACTGCAGGTGGAAGAAACATCATTAACATGAACAAACTGGCATCTTTTTTTAATGCCAGAGGTTAAATCTGCAGTTAAATGTTTCCTCCTGATGTGAGAAGTTAAAGAAAAAACTTCTCCGTTTGGTCTGTATGCTAAGCTACGCTAACACTTGTCTCAATGGTGACCACCTGTCACTGCAGCACTGCTTCAAAGGCTACTGCATGAAGCTGACACCCAACATGCTGAGACAAGATGGCGGTTGGGGGACATGGAGCTCGTTTGGCGCCTGCTCGCGGACCTGTGGGGGCGGAGTCAGGTTCCGGAGCCGGCGCTGCGACAACCCACCGTGAGTGAACTGTCAGTCATCTGTGATATCACGCATCAGGCGCACCAGTCAGAGGAAGACTAACATGTCTTGTTCGCAGCCCAGCCAACGGGGGGCGCACCTGCTTCGGGAACAGCTACGAGTTCCAGCTGTGCAGCCGAGACGACTGCCCCCCCCTGACAGACTTCAGGTTAGTGTTCCTGCTGTTCCCTCTGTTACCCCCCNGTGAGCAGAACTTAGTGGACTCTGGTCTCCATGCTGAGGAGGACTGCGTCTGTCAGCAGAGATAGAGACTGAAGGAACCAAACCTGCTGTGGAGCCTGAATTTAATCTATGGATCTGAACTGGTACTTTGTAATCTAATATCAGAGACAATACTCTGCTGTGGAAGTAGTCTGATTACTGTGAGGAATACAGTTACTACCACTAGACACTGAGGTGACATTCGAGGCTGCATTCTCTGCTGTTGACTGTAAGTTGGTAACTGACACTCTGAAGTTTGATTTTGTTCATATCTTCTTGGTTCGGAAGCTGCTCGTCATGTTCTCTCTCACTTTGACCTTCTCAGCTCCTGAACCTCTTTATGTTCATCTGCAGTACACGACCCTTGAACCCTGCAAGCAGCTGTGGTGCAGCGACTACAACAACCCTTTCTTCTGCAAGACCAAGAAAGGCCCGCCGCTCGATGGCACCAAGTGTGGACCGGGGAAGGTGAGGATGCAGCCAGAGGGTTGGTCATCTTATTATTTAGCACCAGTTCACAACTAAAAGCTCTTCGTACATTAATGTGAACATCCTACAAATGTTATAGAGACACCCATCAAAACCAAAGTTTCCTCTGAGCAACAGCAGTGAGAGAACAAACTCCTCTTTAGCAGGAAGAAACTCAGGGAGAGCCAGGCTGTAGAGAACAGATGGAGAACAGTCAAACAACACCAACAGAACAATGAGCAGTTTGGAGGTTAGGGTTAAAATGTAGAGACATAGTGTTGGTGTAGAACTGTATGGAGAGGAGAGGAGCCCAGAGCATCATGGGA